ACGAAGAAGATGATGTTGCTCATGGGCGGCCCGGGCCAGTACAGGCGTCCAAAGAAGAAGAACGGGAAGCAGACGGCGCATACAGCCGCCAGACCGTACGGATTGCCTTGACCATCGCCGGTCGAGACATACCACATCGCAGTACCGACAAGGCCGCCGAGGAAGGTCGAGACGATACGCGCCACTAGACCAAATGATGTGTCTCCGCGGAACCTCGCAAGCGTAAGCTGGGAAGATAATCAGCACGAGACGGGTGAACAGGTTGACCTTTCGCACGTACTTGACCCATGAATACCGCCCAGCTGCAGGTCGTGAGCCATAGAAAAACCAAGATATCATCAAGCTCACCTGAAGCGCTCCGCATAAGCGAAACCAGCCGTCGACTTGAGGAGTGATGGAATACTAAGGACAACTATAAGCGTGTTAGCAACCATAATCAATATCTGTCGGGAGGTTCTTACCTGTTAAGAGGCCAGCCTTGAGAGCGAAGAGTAGGTTAGCGCCACCGAGGGAGCGCACGCCGTGGTACAGTGCTGCCATGATACGCTCGAACCAGTTCGTGGGTGGCATTGCGTCGGGATCGCGCCACATTGCCTCGCCGAGATCGCCGGTGGTGTCCGCGCCCTGAATGACATCCGGGTTCTCATCGTCCTCACGCTCGTCGTTCGAGTGCAAGTCCCAGATCGACCACTTCCATATCTTCCACAGGGCAGAATCAGCTAGCCAGAGACGCGTCTTGGTGCGCTTCGTCTCGAGCTCAAGAGCAAGCTCCAACTAAGTGCCATGATTGGAGTGACGTCAGTGAAGAGCGCATGTGCGTCTGGGGATGATGGGACGCACCGTTTCGTTGAGGCGGACACAGAAGCGACGAAGGTGGTATTGGTAGAGGTAGCAGTGGAATAGGAAGCGATGTGGTGGTACGTTATCGCCCGTCATCGAGCCCAGATGCTTCGGATCGAAAGCCTCGCGGTACGGCTCGAGCACTCTGAACCGCCTGCTTTTCCTGAAGTCATCCAGAGACTTGTTGAGTGCATTGATGGCGATCAAAAGTCCCGCAGCTCGCTCTTCTTGTATACGTCGCATATCGTCACGACAGCGCCAAAAGGCATACTTGTGCTTCCTGCTGGTCTCAAGCCACTTGTCCAGCGCTTTAAGACCTCCTGCTGCGTTCTCGAGCACATCGCGCACACTCTCATGAAGCAGCTCGGTCGCTCTCTCCGTAAAACGCGCGGCAAAGGGATGATGCCAATGGGTGTTCTCGAGATCAAGGTATCGCTGACTCTCGAAGACCCCAACTACGTGCTCGCGGTGATGTAGTGCAGGAAGATGTAGGGCGGCAGCAAGACTGTGGCGATTTGAATGTCGTCCTGTCCGGATACTCGGTGCGCGCGAAGACGTCGGTGTCAATGGCTCAGTCTCAAAGTGTGGATGCCTTCTCCTGCCGCGCTTCTTGGAGAAGTCGAGGAAGGCGGGGAAGTCCGAATGTGAGTCGGTACCACCCGGATGCGGGGGTGTCGTGCCTACGGTGGGTTCGCTATCGTTGCGAGTCGTCATAGCGTGGTCGGTCGAATGAGAGACGTAAGGTTTGCCCTCTATGATGGGCGACTCGTGGCCATCATTGGTACGGTGCTCCGTGCGGGTTGGAGACGCAGCGCGGGACTGCGTAGGGGACAAAATGGGCGTGGCTGGCTGAGATGGCGCCGGTGTAACAGGAAAGCGCTCGCGAGTCGGATCGATCAACGAGAAGTAATGATTCATCCCACCAGCGGCCACGGTCATGCGCCCAAATCGCTCGCGGAATACCGCCAGATCGGGTCCAGAGAAGCGGTGCCAGACGATGTCGCGAGGTAGAAGGCGGGCGGACATTGCTAGAGGAGCAAGAGCCCCTTCGGCTCCATTGACCAGTTGCCGGGCCATAGCGGGGCTGAACTCCGGCGACGTAGTAGGTGTAGATAGGACGTTCATGTGCTCAAGTATGGCGCCGTGAAGAGGGTTGATGACTCCGCGGAGGCGGACAACGAATTGCGCAGAGATAGAGATGGGGAATATTAGGATGGAGCATGCGATAGCGATGGCAGCGTGAAAAACAAGGGGTAGAGTGACAGCTTGACCGATCTGTGTGCGGTGTTAGCTCATTGACACAACTATTGCCGTGGGTGTCTTACTGAGTAGAGTGGGAATGGGTACAACACAGCAGTTTGCATGGAGATATCTGCGATGCTGTTGAACATCGTATAAGGACGGCAACTGCATGAAGATGCCCACCGAGACAGATGCAGCCGAGAACAGTAGCAAAGAGGAATGGTCCAGGTCCTTTTCGTGCCTTGATGTACAGGAATACTGAGGTGCCAACGAATAGGAAGACGGCAAGAATCACGGACGGCTAGCAAGCGGAATCAGCTCAATCACGGATACACCCTGTGTTTGAACCGCGGTACGCACAGCAGCTTCAACATAGGCCCCCTGTTGAGCAAGTTGTTGGTCCGGATTGAGGATGACCTGAGAACGGGCCAGACTGGCCAGCTTCACGCCCAAACTACTCCATCTATGCCAGAGAAAAGAACTACGTTAGTAACAAGTGTAAACGCCAGGTGAGTGTACGCACGCCCAGGACACCAAGACTATCAGCACGATAACAATCTCCCGTTCGATGTTTGCGATAGTAGGGTCGCTCGGTGGTGATAGGAAGGAGGCTGTGCAAGTTATATGAGCATTGGACCGGAGCTCGTGCTGTAACTACACACCGATGACAATGAGGAAACCAGCCTGCGGTTCATGTCAAGTTCAAAGTTAGCATGCGTGTGGTAATACGACCCAAAGCGGATGAGGAAGCTTGTTGAGAGCGCCCGTACATCGCCGCCGACGCCGGAAACGCCGCCGACATGCACAAGCTGACAGTCAAGGGACTGAACAAGTCTACAGGCCCGAGGCAACAAGCGCCGCGACGGACGGCCGATGCTCGTTCCGTGCCGTTGCAGCGCTTATGCCGACGATCCCCGCGTCGGCGAGGCGCGTGTTTGTGCAGGCAGAAAAAAACGCACCTGCCCCATGGTGCGCAGGACTGGATTGACGACCAGCAGTACGACCGCGACCCAAGCAGCGACAGAGCTCCGAATCACAGGCTTCAGTTTGGAGAAGACAAAGTTGGCCTTGACCCAGCCGAGATTGTTGACCAGAGGGATCTTGCTGATGACTGCGCGCGCCACCTTCTGCCACTGCGGCTCTTCGCCTTTGGGACGCGCGATACGAGGTTTCTCCTTGGTACTCGCCGCGCGCTTGAGCTTCTCGTCCGATGCCGACGCTGAAGATAGACCTGGTTCAGGCGGTGAGCCCGGCACCTGGATGTGAGGGGGCGCCGGGCGAGTCTGCGAGGGCGGGGACTCCTCCTCGTCCTCGTCGCCTATGCGGGGGTCATAGTGCGCCTTAAGGTCGGACGGCATGTAGGAGCTGGCCCTGGTGGTGGTAGCGGAAGAAGAAGCGACAGATAGATTTAGAACATGAGCTCGGTAGTTGAGACCGAGCGGTTCAGCGGAACGCCGGGATATGATATAATGGTTAGGGGCTTCAGCCGTTCTGTCGGTCATTGTCGTCCGAAAGCGGGAACTACTGTTTGTTGACGTCGACGATCAAGCATTTCGCACCTTCACTGCGACCACCATGGACGCGTCCCCTCCTGCTCAGCCACCAAGCGACGCGTCGCCACCACCACCCCCGCCAACCGGTGCATCAGGCTCTCCGACAGATTTTTTGAAGGGAGTTGTCGGCAAACAGGTCGTCGTTCGCCTCACATCAGGCGTCGACTATCGCGGTACGTGTGTGCTTGCCACGGCTCTTGGTACTTTATTGAGCCCCGTCATCAGGTGTCTTGTCATGCCTTGACGGATATATGAACATCGCGCTAGAGCAGACGGAGGAGCATGTCAATGGACGCGTTACGAATAGATATGGCGACACGTTCATTCGTGGCAACAATGGTACGCCCTTCCAAGCAGGCTGGCAACATCAGTCACTCATCTCTGCTTTAGTGTTATATATCTCAGCTGCTGAAGCACTGTAATACTACATCTACCCTTCAGTCTCACGCCCGCGCCTCGCGCCCCCCATTTGCAAAATGCTTTGATACAATGCTTTCTTGCTTTGCTATGCAAACCGTCACTCATGATCGGGGTCTCTTGGAAGAACATGGTATACTTTAGCTTCAGAGGATATATGCCGCCACAACTGGTACAAGCATCGCAACGGACATCCAGCCAATACCGACCGTGACTCTGCTCCCGATACTCGCGATCGCTTCGTCCCTCACGACTGCCTCTACAGGCGACACTGGCCCACAACCTACGGAATGCTCTAATGCAATATTTGCGGGCATGAGTAGCATTGGCATGCCGTGATGTGCAGACGTATGGACACTCCCGTCCTGGTCAGCCCTCACAACCATGCATGACAGCACATCAATCAACATATCTCCCGGCGCGTGCGCGTTGAAAACGCGCCACTCTGCTTCGGGTTCGCTCGTGAGGAAGGCAAGCAGTGGCGGTCTGTAGACCGCATATGCATGTTGGTCCAGCTTGTGGATCATCGTCTACGCGAATATTCAGCATTTGGCGCGCGAGTAGACGAAATCGATCGTGCGCACCGGGGTCACGAGGAAGGTTGCATTGGTCGCGATGGCGGCGTCTCGTGCATCGGCGAGGGTGCTTAGCATGTCCATATCGTCTACGGAGCCAGGGACGTCGTCGAGCATAGATGCCAGTACGAGTGCGTTGGCGAAGAGCTATACGATCATCAGTTACCTATCAAGCCAGATCCTCGATGTTATACTCGCCGCAATTTCATGCTGCTCAGTTGCGTTCTCCGCCATACCGTCAACGTTGAAATGACTTTGCGCGTGAAGTTCGTGGGGCATGATGACTTGCGGCGTGGCGGGTTCGGATCGTGGTTCATGATTCTCGACATCTGACGATGCAAGTGCGATAGCTGCTATGCTGAGCAGGAGACAAGCTGGTGTACGCATTCAAAACCTGATGCGTGTTAGGTGTAGGCTGGGGTGGGAGTAGGTTGTAAGTGAGGTCTGCGTGCTGGCCTTCATTGACATCACCCAGGGTTGCTTGCGAACGGAATGGCGGCAAACGCAAACGTGGACGTCAAGAGCGCAAGAATGTGTTTCTTATGTAACTAGCATCTGCGGACAACAGGCTCTTCACATTTGTATTTGTTTAGTCTTCCTTCGGTAGCTCCCAGATCTCTTGGGTATGAATCAGCCTCGGCGGGTTCAGAGGGTCCACCCGTGCACCTTGCTTCAAAGACCTCACTACGCGCACAAGGACCTCTAACCCCTCCTTGTCCTTCAAGTTGCGCATAGGCGAGAATGCAGCGCCCGCACGATCAATGCGCGCCACGCTGAATTGCATGCCAACGATGACGATGCCGAGCGACACATCGTGGGACGGACGCTTGCGAAGGTGATTGGCGCCGAGTTCGAGGGCGCGTTTTGCGGAGGCGCGGGGTACGGCGCTGAGTGGACCGGATGATGTGCGAGACGGAAAGTCGAACAGAACAAACATTCCGAAGAAATCGTCCTTGTAACTCGTGAAGAGACGCATATGGAGGCTTGGATCCTTGAAGAGATCGTCTTGACCATGAAGCGCTGGACTGTCGTCTGATGACATCGAGGTGATGACTGTGATGATACCCATCTTGATACGACCGTCAGATTGCGAGGAGAGAGTTCGGCATGTTACGGGCGTACAATGAGGTTTAATATGTCGATAGTCCGGAAGAAGTCCTGCGACTTGGTAGCGGATGGCGGCCTGTCGGCCTATGGGCTGATAGTCAATAGATGGGAAATGCTAGATGTTCGATCTACTCGCTTGAGTCTTTTCCATCTGATTGATCTCGGCCTGAAGGTCCTTATTGCCGCTGATGTGCTCGACGCAAGCCGTGACTAGTCCATTGTCGACGTCCCACAGCTTCAGCATGCGGTACACCTCGCTCTTCTCGTTAGGTTTGGGAGGTTCGCAGATGAAGGCAGACATGATAAGATCTATTGGTGGAGCGTGGGTGTATCAGTAAGAGTATGAAGGGTGACACGAGCACGGGGCGAACCAGGTATGAACCAGGTATCGCGGCTTTCTTAGTAGACTAAGACACCGGTCGATGCTGAGTCCGTAGGATTATGCGCAATCGTGGTCAAGGGCAAGAGAGCGCTTGCTATCGCGAGCCACCGGGAATTCAGTGCATAGGCACCACGGGGCCACAAAAGAACGGCAATGGCCGCAGAAGTCAACCCAAACTCGGAAGGCAGCTGCCCTGAAGAGAAAGGAAATGGATGAAATGTAACAGAGTGGTGATGGATAGACGTCATGGATGTATATAGATCAATCTGAATCGGTAGCAGGTTGTGCGTCTGACTCGGGCATGGTAGGCCACCCGTCGGGAGTCCACGGTGTAACACCGATCTTCTCGCCAGTCTCTACCGCGCTCTCGACCTCAAGCGACAGGTCACCTGTGGCAACGCCATGCACATGTTCCAACCGTAACAGAGCAAGCCCGACTCCTTGGGTGTTTGAGAGCAGCCGACCAGTACCGCGAGGACGGGGAATCCGTCCCGCGCCTGTGGTATGCTGCGCAGTGGGTATTGCACGAATGGACAAATGCGAAGCTAGTTGTTTCGGTAGCAACGCTTCGGTATCTCCGCTGTAAGTAGAGCTGTTAGACAGATATAGATATATACGTTTGAAAGCCCTCACGATGGTTGCAAAAGCACTGGCATTATTCGCTTCCGGACCAGACCAGTGTGGTAAGTTCGCACGGTCAACTCCTGCCCAACATAGCAGCCCTTCCTAAAGTCCACTATTTCCATGCGCATGAGCCTTTTAGCTTAGTACACGAGGCTTGATATGACGCACCGCCTCCCATAAGGTCGAGATTACTCTCCATAGGGAATGCCTGACCGGGTTGGATGTCCAGAGCGCCTTCTGGCACACCATGCGCTATCCGGTGCAACAGGTAGTCTCCCAGACTTCCAAGATCATGATCCGAGCATTCCTGCGCTACGCCAGTAAGTTTCATATCCCTTCTTGCCAGGAACTATACGCTCACGTCGATCTCCTTTGCGGACAACTCTCCTCGAACCCATGCCCACAGCTCGTCGATCCCTTAGCAACCCATTTCCAGCCGTGCCCCACGGCCAGCTCCCTTCCGCCTCTTCTGCCACCATATCCCACACCGGCTCGCCAGCACCGCTACGCGCCCAGTGCGTGTGCCGCACCTCGGGCATACGCCCCGCTGCGGGGCACCACGACGCCCAGACATCCCACTCCGCACTCGCGTCACGCACTTTCACTTTGGCGCGAAGTACAAACTTCTTCAGAAGGGACAGCAGGTCGGGCACTTCGGGGTTAGCCTGCGGTACAGTCGGGTCATACTCGATGAGATAGCCCTCCTGACCAGGCTTCACACCCAGCGCGTCTGGAGGTGGTGTGTGCACTATCACATCATAGAGCACACGTCCTTGCGCATGAAGAAGGGCTGCATAGAAAGGTTGTGCTGGTGCATGGACAGCCGTCGATAGAATACCGTGCAGGAAGGATGGGGCTTGTGAGCCGGTTACAGATATGAAAGCACGGTTTGCGAGATGCGCCGTCGTTGGAGTCTGGCGTAAGAGAGCTCGCACAGATGCTGGTGTAGGCATTGTGTATTCGTCCAGGAAACTCCCCAAGGCGGTAGACTCGGAGACCGAGAAGACGAAGCTGACGACAAGTGCGCGCTGGATGTGCTGCGTCATCATCGTGTGAGCATGTGACCGCGTCTCCGGCTTTTGCCGCTCCAATCACTTTGCTTGTTTCAGTCTCTTCCCAACGTGCTCTTCTGAGTCTTCACAATAATGGAGTGCCTTCGACGTTCAACTCAGGACGTACCGAACCCACAACTGTCATATGTATCTGATACATACTACAAAGTCGTTCCACTTCTCTGCGACCCTTCACGTGTATGAATGGGCTTGTATACACTTTTCACATGCCTGTCAATGAACACCATCCTCTGGTCGCACTGGAGGCATATCGTGGTGTCGGGCGGGCCATGCTGAGCTTTGGTAGTATTCCTCGGATTGAGATAAGCTTGTACAGTCAAATCGGAACGGTAGCTCGCGCTCCAACCGAGTCATTCGATGCGATCGCGGCAACGAACAAGCTTATTGGACGCAATCTGCTGGAGCGCACCCCTCGACACCACAACCGACGTGATTTTGCCTTCGGGTCTGGACGCAGTGGGACTATGCAGTGCTATTGGACGGGTGGCATAGATAAGATGTATCAACGTGCGAGTGACCAGGTGGCGGAGCGCGTTGCGACAGGCGTGAGTGCTGTGGCTCCTTCTGAGCGTCGCCTGTGAAGCCTTTTCCGAGTATCCAGTCAAGTCTCGTTGGCACAAGTGCATGTTCCCTCATCGTCGTTTGAAACTCGCCGTTGATCGGCTTGCGCTGCGAACGCATATAACCCAAGACGAAGGACAGGCTGCTATCTGGAACTCATGCTGGGAATAGTACTCTTCGCATGACCCGCATCTAACAGCGGGCCACAATCACACGTCCCGGGCCGCTTCCCCGTCCAAGTGGCCTCAATAGAGTGAACACCGACAACTCTCCCGCCATCGCTCCCGCTACGATGCGTCTCGGGAGTCGGAGTCCAGCCTCGTTGGAGCCTCGGAGCCTCGGAGGTCAATTTAGGCCGTCAAGCTAGCTTTGTTTGTGGTGGGGACTAGCGTATCCAGTCGGACTTCCAATAGCTTAGCGCGAAGTTCGCTATCACGATAGCAGCAAGTTTTGACGACGTTGTTGTGGCAATACGCACTAGTCGTGGGCTCAGATGAGGTGCCACCGTGTAATACGTCCGGATGCGTGTCGATGTTGATGTGTTCATATCGTAGTACGTAGTACTGCGATCCGGATCTACTTGTGACTCGAGGCCCAGTACTGAGGGTGACTCGACGACGTAAGTACGATCATGGAAGAGAGCCGCCGTGGTGGCGGATATCTGTACCTTGTCACATACTAAGTGCCGTATAGCTGAGCTTTGGAAGGGGGTGCAATGAGGCTGGGTACATCAGTATCAAGCAGGGTATCCCCAAACGAGGTCTCTATGTTTCTTGGCAAGAACAGGAACAAGAGCGAGGCATTTTGCTATGGAAGATTGACTTAGGGTATGCATCGGCGGAGAAATCACGGGTATCGGCTTGAGTGAACAGCAAAAGAGGGTAGTTTGTGTAACAGGTGTGAACCGATACAGTGATATGCTGAGGAGTGGAAGGTCCATATAGAGGACATGGGGTGGTATAGAGTTAGCAATTCAACCTCTCCACATGCCAGTATCGTCGCATCTATCTGAAATGGAGCAAGGACGACTTGATGCTTGTCGGCCACATCGGAGCATCTGGCGTCCCACAACGAGCCGATCCCGTGGATTGTTGGCGACCAGAATCCGATCTCATACGGGCTTGTGAAGCCGACAGACGGCCTGGATGGTTGTATACATAGGAGGGATCGGAAGCTGTCGCTGGTCTTCCAATAGTAGAGCTCTCGGTGGCTTTTGAACCCGTGCTAGTAAGCGATGAAATAACGGAAGGGTGAATCCGATCCATAACATACCTACATCCCTGCACCACAAGAATCCCAAATGTGGTCTCGCACTGTCATGATAATCTTTCAGACCCAGAGCAGCTCGACATTGCTTCTCGACCGACCATCAACTATGCGGGTTCGTTCAAACAGCCATCGGTGCCAGAAGCGACTTTGAGGCGTTTGAACACGGGTCTCGACTGAGTCGATGCGTCCTCGACCGGCCTCCACTCATGCACTGGATTCCGGGTGCAGTAACAGGAGTGAGAGTTGTAAAGCATATGTCCCGTTCGCAGCTGACCACGGTGATAGCACCTCCTATGCGCACAATTGTCCAGGCCGGATGTTGAAGGTTCTCACATATCACCTCGGGCGGTGAGACCGAACACTAGCGGGAAGAGCGCAGGAAGAAAGTGCTTGCTAGCGCGTTGGAGCGCCTTTGACCGTCAATGGGTCGTCGGTGAAGTTGGTGAAACGCGTTGCCATGATCATAGGACACGGTCGAGGTATTCCAGAAGGCGAGGTTGTGCGGCGATGGCTTTGTACCTATCACGGGTGATGGACGTGCAAATGATCTGGTGGCGTAGTGAGAAGATAGATTGCGAGGTTTGAAAACGACACTGCACAGGCGAGCACGTATTGACCGGGGTGTATCATTGTACGGAGGTTTGCTTCTGCACTGGCTGATCAGCATCACGTCTAACGAGATGATACGGCACCGGCTGGGCTTTCGATCAGTGCTGTAGTAGCACGGTTGCACTGCTGGAGTGTGCAAGTGAAAAACATACCGTATACAGCTCACAGCACCAACCCGGGTGGACACCGATGGGACGATATCGCGCTATTGCACTCTGCTCAGTCATCCCTAACGTCTCGAGGCGCCATGTACATTAGTGCACATACATGGTTGAGCGTGCGAAGGTATATTCAAGGAGCACGGTGGCAAAGGCTGGAGTGATTGGCCGGCAGAGCCACAAGGTAGCCGTTTCCCGGGCTGCAGGGAGACGAATGTCCAAGTAAGTCCTTATGCAACCGGAATGAATGAGACGCCCATGAAGGCGTGAGACGTCGAACCCTCCGGGATGGGTCTGACAAGTGGTGGCAGTTCTTCTTCTGCATAAATCAAGCGCAGACCCATTCAGTACGGTTAGGTAGCACGCGTCCGGGATGCCACGGGTCGAAGCCGCTTCTGCGTGGCATCTTTTGCCGACGCCGACTGGCGAAGTTCGCGTCCGCGTCGCGAAGAGTCGATCCTTGCATCGAGAGGCCAAGTCAAATGGAGGTGATAGCTCTCAAGGAAACCTACGTTCTCGCGTACACGCTCCAGATCCCCGCGGCGGCGCGAGCCTTGCGCTCCCGAGCACTGACGCCACAGCACGGCCTGATACAGAATATGCTTTTCGAATCGACTGTTCCCAGCCGGCGACTTGACCCAAGGCTCGAGGCGCGGGCGGGGGAGACGGGCGCAAAGAAGCATAGCACACGTGCCGTGCGTCGCCATTCATCCACATCTTACACCGGCCGCTCCGAGTCGCGATGGACGGCGTATCTGATTTGGACATACGGGGCGTTTATGCATCAAGACAGGGCAAAGTGAGTGCGGAATGGAGACGCTGGAGCGCGGAAGACGTCGAGCTTCGGATGAGGACTGCAAGGTACATCTTGCCGGGTGGCAGGCCGACGGGCGAGCCGAAAGCTCTGAAAACTTGATGGTGTTTGTGCCGGAAGCGGTACAAGGGCAAGATGCAGATGGATGGATGGAACGTGGCAAGCGCACGGCGATGAGCGAATAAAACACGCGGAGAAGCTCGGGGCGGTCGGACGCGGTGCTCGGGGAACGGGACGGGCTGGGCATAATTGAAGATGCCGTCATGGCTCCAAAGGAATGACCGGAGGTCGGTCGAGTTTGAGCGTGCGACGTCAGATCTTGTTGAGATACAGTACGGTCGAAGGCGCGGAAGGTCAAGAAAAGGGAAAAGAGGGGTGATATATAGTTCGGATGGCCGGGCGGCGCGCGCGGGTTGTGTTGTTCCCGACGCGCGTGTGCGTCCGTTGTTCGTTGTTCGTTGCTCTGCCATCGCCGCACCGTCGCTATGGCGCCGCGAGAGCCTCAGCCACAGTCGTCTCCTGCAGCGGGTCCATCCTCGTCCCAGAGCCTGCCATCCTTCGCCGACACCTTTCCCGGCTATTCCCGTCCCACTGCATCAGCGACCGCGGGAGAGCGAGAACGCAGCGAGCTGCCGCCGATCCAGGTCATGGACCCGCCTCCGCGCCTGAACGGCCGCAAGCGCTCCCACAACGACGAACAGGCGTCCCCGTGCGTGTTTTTAACTTGTTTACAAGCTGGCCAGCTGAACGTCTGCCGGCCAGCCCTTCTCCACAGGTCAAAGACGAGATTGACGAGCTGGACGAATCCGCGTCTTCGGCGCCGCAAGGCAAACGCCGGCGAGTAACCGTCTCTGGCAGCCAGCGACCGGAAGCAGCCCCCATGCCCACTCCAGCGCGCACCACTCTACCCATAAGCGATGCACGCCGTGGCTCGCTCCCGGGCGTCGGCTCGATGCGATCCCCCGCGCCTGTCCCCGCGCGCCTACCGCCCGTCCCATCGGCGCACTCATCGGCCGCGAACCCAAACCGCGGCTCTGCTGCACTCCCCGCGCCCTCGATTTCCTTTACCAGCCGCCGTCTCGGCGCAGGCGCAAAAGGCAAGAAGCCTGCCGACATCCTCATCAGCCCACGCGACGTCGCACCTCCCCCCGCTATCATGAGCGCACCCCCAGCCGTGACCGAACACAGCCGGCCGCCAGTCCCCCCTGCGCTCTTTCCTCCGCCCCATCACCACCACCCACCGCCACATTCTCAACAGCAGCCGTCACACTTGCATGGACCGGCGACTCCCGGTGTGGCCATTCCGAGCATTCCTTCCATCGGTGCACCGCCGCCTCGCAGAGCACCGGCAGCTGTGCCTCCGACGCCTGGCCGACTGCCTATGCGCGGAACACTTGTGACGCCATCTACCGCTGCGTTTCACATTCCAGAACGGGGTGGAGACCGGAGCCACCTCTCTGTGCCAAACGTAGGAATCAGTGGTGCACTCGCCAGTCCGCGTGTCCCTCCCACACCAGGCGTACTCCGTTCTCTATCACATGGGGCCAACCCTGGACCTTCGTCAGCAAAACTGCCCGCGAATCGCGAAAAAGAGCGCGACGCGTTTCTGTCGCCTTTTGCTGGCTTTTACGACACGCTGCGCGATGCGGCCGAGCTTAAAGCCTTTCTCGCTGCGAGCATAGCCAGGGCTGATCGTGCTGCTGCGTCGATCGACGATACGGTCGAGCGCCGCGTCAGAGAGCGCGTCGCACCGATTGAACAAGAGCTTGATGCGTATAAACGTCGCGTCGATGCGCTCGAGGAGGAGATGCGGGCTTTGCGCGCTAGCTCAGCCCCTGCGGAGGCGCTTCGCCCTAAGGAAGGCTACACCTTCCCCTCGGAGTCGCGCAGCAGTCAGAGTCCAGAAGTGAAAGGGAAGGAGCGGGAGAAGACGCATGAGCAGGGCAGCAAGAGTCCGCCGAGTGAGGAGCCCCGGGCTAGTGCAGGGCCGTAGCCGCCGCACTAGCCAGCCCTGCGTTCACGCACAAAATACGACCACATCTCATACTGTATATACCTCTCGTGGATTACAGCACGTTTCTTTTCTTGACCTACTCTCACAAATATCTCATCCATACCCCACCCTCCCTGTCTGTTGTACGTCCCAGTCAATAACGAAACGGCTCAACGCGTCTGTGCTTTGCCCTGATACCTCAATCATTCCCTTCCTGTCGCACGCAGCATCGCTCTTGTTTCGGTTTTCTACCTCGTATCTCGTCCGTCCGCCTGTCTGTGTCGTTCACATTGCTCGTAGCCTCGTTTGTCCGTACGCACTCATTGTCTGTTCGTCGCCCAATGTCCAATGTCACGCGTCTCTGCCTGTCGCTTCCTCCTTGTTTGCTCCTCCCCGTCTCGGCGGCCTCGCTCTCGCTTCTTGATTTCTGACATCGGACTGACTCGGACAGCACTACGCTCATTATTCAAATTTCCTTCCTGTGGGTTCAGACAATGGACTGTTGATGGTACCACTGACTGCATTTTGCAGCACAACCCTCCTTATACCACTGTTCGCGCTCTCACTAGCTTCATCTCGCCCCTGACCGAGTACAATCAATCATTTATCTCTTACAAGTAGTAATCAACTGCACTTCAACCCAAGCCCGTGTGCACCTATCTTGTTGAAGAAACCGGCGAAACTTCCATAACATCGCACGACGCTTCCTATACAGTTTTCTTGGCACACGAACCATAAGTCCGAGAACTACATTCCACTAGCTCGTACTAACGAGGCCGCGAGCTCAAGTTCATAGACTTTGGGCGGATATAGGTCCGCGTAAGTCCGTGTTGAACGAGCCAAGCGATCAGTTCACACGGCTAATCATAGGCTGAGCCGGACGACCTTCCGGAGACCTTCATCTCGGGGCACAATCCACGCAACTCAGATAGCCTCCAAGAGTGACATACGGGTTTACGCTATGTTAGGAGACAATCGGAGCCTGCAAGATACCGTTCACTGTATGCACAACCGGCATGGCTTACGCGCATGCTTAAACTTGACGCCTCTCTATTGATACCGCGGCCGCATTCGAACCTCGAGGCGCTCATCGAACCCAGGAAGCTCTACTTGAGTTCGTACACCCCAGCCAATCCCCAGCTATCTTCGTCACCGTCAGCGGTATCAGTGCTGTATCGATGCTTCCTTCCCCACTTGGCGTGATAGGCTGTATAGCCAGAAGCAGCCAATAAGGCTGGTCAGAAGGGCCGCGTCGCTCAGCTGGTGGTGTTCTTCGAAGTCGCAGGCGCAGGGCTTGTGCGGATTGGATAGGAAGACCTCCGAGATCGGGTCGGGGGAGGTGGGTACGTTGCTCGTTTGCGGATGAGGAAGGTTAGCGGAAAGAAGGTCTTTGTATGCGATGACGACCGCGGGCGCGGGCTGCTTAGTACGTGCGACGAGAGCGCGAGACACCTGGATCTTCTGGCGCTGGCGGTTGCAGCGTATCATCTGTGGCGTTTCAATTACCCTTCGGCTTGGTCGGTCAGGGATGCATAGACTGGTGCGCCATGGGGCGCTGCTGCTCGTCACTCCAGGAGCATCCCCTGCTATAATCTAATCTCTTTGATCCTGCGGTTTCCGATCTAGAATATCTCGGGTGAGGGTGGGTAAACGCCGTCAAGCCTCTGATGCAGGTGGGCTGGACATCTGCCACATTCGCCAAAAAAGAAGTGCTGGACGACGGCTTGAAGGGAATACTCTGCAGGGCCGTCGAGAGCGCATGACTATCCTTTACGCCCAGGACGCCCGCGTGTCGCTGAAGGCATAGTATAACAGCCCCTTCTGCTGCACCCCAACAGTAGAGCACCCCAGAAGGTCGCCTCGACGCGCACAGTTATCCGACCTCAGAAGCAACATGGGTATTCCCACCGAACCTGTTGGATCACTGCCTCGCCCGCAATACTTGCAGGACGCGTTTGCGGATTATGACGCGGGCAAGATCTCACGCGATGATCTGCTTGCTGCGCAGGACAGAGCCGCCGCGGACTCTGTACAACGTTCGGAGGAGACTGGTGCTGAGTTCATAACTGATGGCGAGCAGAGGGTACAGTGCCACGTCACCGCCTCGATTGAACAATACTCACACTGATCATATCTAACAGGCATCCTCGTTTGCGACCTATCCCATCATCGACACCCTCGGCGGCAAGGGTCTCGCACCGAACCTCGCGGCCGACGGACAATACTTTGCCATCTTCGATGATGAGCATCATCGGCAGCTTCCCAGGCTCGTCAAGGGTCCGCTCAAGTACAACACGTACGCGGCCGAGTACTACACTAAGAGCAAGCCGTTCGCGAAGAAGGCCAATCTGAAACAAGCGGTTATCGCGCCGAGCATGCTCTATCTATTGTACCCTCTTGAAGGTACGATCGCCGTGTACTCATCTGCCTTGCGCATGTGTTCATGATGTTGTATGACTAGGCGAGATTGAGGGTTATCCAAAGGAGGAGTTCGTCAAGGACCTCGTCAACGAATGCGAGAAGGACATCCGTGGTCTCTTCAACGCCGGCGCGAAGCGCATGAGTATCGACTTCACTGAGGGCCGGCTTGCATCGAAGAAGGACCCTCGCAACCCCTGGACGAGCGCCAACCTATTGCAAACTTTCATCGACCTGAATAACAAGGTGCTCGACCGTTTCGATCCCGCCCAGCGCGCGAACATCGGCGTGCATACTTGTCCCGGAGGCGACTGCGACAGCGTTCATAGCAAGGAGGTCGACTATCATGAGTTGCTCCCGGCGCTCTTCCAGATGAATGCTGGATACTTCTTGATACAGTGCGCCAGCGAGGTGAACAAGGAGAAGGTGTATAAGGAGATCGGGCAGTACATTCGCAAGGATGCCAACGGTGTGAAGCAGGTGAATATCTCCGCTCTCGTCATCGCCGAGTCCACCTGAGCGTATCGTGTTAGGTCGCTTTCATCGGCGTCATTGACCCGCTCAACCCGGAGATAGAGACGCCTGAGCAGGTCGCAGCGCAGCTCGTTGCAGCTTCGAAGTACATTCCCGTTGACCAGCTAGGCGCGACGGATGATTGTGGCTTTAGTCCCTTCAGCACTGACCTCAAGCCGAAGCACGGCTCCCCAGACTTTGCTCGGGACATCGCTTTTCAGAAGATTACCGCTCGCGTTCAGGGTGTGAAGATGGCCAGCGATAAATTAGGTGTATGAATGGGCAGACGGTGTTGTCGCGAAGCGCGCTATTTGTAGGATAGAAACATGACGAGAATGTCGAATCGCGGTGTATGAACGTCTATTTACACCCAGTCAGCGTTATGAAGCGTGGCGTTACATAAATCCCCCTCATCTGATCCAACCATTCCCGGCCAACCCGACGGCAGGGTGGTCGAGCGCAAGACAAACGGTCGCGGACACTAGGGGCACGCGCCATCCCGGTTCGCACAACCGTGTTTCGCCCCCGGTTCCAGTCCCGGTTCAAGCACGGTTTGAATGGGAGCGCGATGCCTTTGCCGCACACATGCACCTTGACGACACGTGGGACAGCACGCGGCGGAAACTACAATCGTAAAAGCGACGAGTTCGGGCTCACCGCCCTTCCTGGACGACTGGATATAGACCCATCGCCTTATATACCAGCGCATAGACAGACTTACGTAAGCCTCATACACCATCGCGGCAGTGATAACCCGCACACCGTACAAGCCCGATGGGTGCATTGTGCGGATGGTGTGTGTCTCGTCGGTCTTGCTCAAGGGAGCCTTCACAAAGGACAAGATGGAGGCCACGTGAGTCATTCAATAGTACGCGAGGCTGCACGAACGGCCTTTCAACCAGACTCAAACCTGGACAGACACCCGATTGTTCAAGCCGGGACGGCGCTTGCCCCTAGTGGGACGCAAACGCCTCGCGTGCGGTCACGAATAAACGTTACCGTTATGTCACGCAGCCTCGTGCAGTTGGCCAGGCCGCGTCAAGACCGCGTGCCTTGCCGCCGCCTCGCGCTCAGCTTCCGCCTTCACTTTCCCTCTCTTTCAGCTAGCTGGCTGCTCCGTCACTGTGAAAGAGATCTTGGATCCGAATATACCGTCGTTCCCATGACTGAGTCAGACCAGGGTCTACGAGACTATCTTCTTGCCGCGCTGAGCAAGCTGCCCGGCGCGCGCGACTTGCACATCCATGTTCTTACCACGGCACCGTACAAACACAACTCGCTATATCCGTACGCGACGCCGCGACCCAAAGTGATAGCTCAAGATATACTCGTACTACTGTCTGAGTCTGCGCCGTCAGCCTCGGAGGACCCGGCGCCGCGTGCTTTTGTCGCAGCCATCGAGGCGGCCCTATACCTTTTCCCGTCAACCGACTCGGCTTTACTATATATCTCGAAAGTCGACTCTACCGGTCAAGGGATATCCCCTTCCCCCACGGCTACGCTTATACGCGCGTTTATCGACTGGCATACGGCGGGCCGTAACGTCCAAGCGGCCAGGCTCTGGGTCCAACTCTTCGCCCGTGCACAGGCGCAGTACCTGTTTCCAAACTCGGCTGATTACGAGGGGAAGAAGCCGTTGAATGACGTACGGCTCTGTGCATGGTGGCGACGCGTGTTAGGAGACGTTGCCGCTGCCCGGAAAGGCGCCCAAGCATTTTATGTGCTGCCCGGATATAGCGCGCTCGAGGCAGAGCAGTCGCTCAAAACGGCGGATGCGAGGTGGACATACGGACATCCGTATAGCCGAGCAGACATGCCTGTGCCTTGCTCACCACCTCATGGTGATGTCTGGAACCTCGGCAATATCATCCCCAGCTTTGAAGACGACCCGAAGAACAGGTTTATGGACGAGCTGGCGCACGCCGACACGGTGAACGAGCGGGACGCGAGCCCAGTCAAGAAGAAACCTCGTCTAGAGAAGAAGGATGATGCTGAGGTTCAGCGGCGCAAAAAGGAAAGGGAAAAGGAGGAGAGCAAAGGTCCGCGTGGCGAGCTGGCGCGGGTGCAGGCCGACGAGTTCTGGGAGCGCATGTCTTTCCGACAGGAGTGTATCGCGGGAGCTGTCACAGGGTTCTTCGCTGTCGTCTTCGATCTTACTACAACTCTGGACGTTACAACCGATACCACTTCTCCTGTACATAACGCAGCGTCTACCGCCAAACCCAGTACACCGAATCACATGCAGCCTCGACCTGGGAACGTGCCACGACATATCAACGAGCGCGTGCACAAGCTCTTGTCCACAGGAGTCGAGTTTAGCACACAGGAACGCGCTCGAAAAGGAACTGAAGTCGTAGAGAGCTCGCTAAAGGGCTTGTGCGAAGGCATCGCGCCTCGACCTCCGAACTCATCCGCGGGACCAGCTAGACCACGAGTCGATGCATCTGGACAACTCCTTCCCGCCCACCCGTCCTCGAACGACGACTCGCCTCATACCCCCGCCCGTCGCACCGTGGCATTACCCGAAGACACATCACCTAATCCATTCGACGAACCTGAAACTACCCTTGAGACGTATCATGCGCATATATACGGCTCTATCAGCGTGCGCAACGATCCACCCCCGCCGAGAGACGATAAGGCGGCCGCAGAGCCAGCCAAAGTCAATGTGCTCTCCGTGCGCAAGAAGAAGAAAAAACCGGAGTAGATATCCTCTAGGCCTGGTGAGTGCTACGAGCTCATCTAATTGCCACGAGTCCCTTGCTGATTGATTCTCATTCAGGGCGCCACAGCGCACTTCGCATGAGCGTTGAGTGTCTGGTGCAACCCATGGATATACTAATCTGGCCTTCAACCTCCGGTTGCCTTGGACGAAGTTCATTAGCACTGCTGTAACCGTCTTCAACTACGTGTCATGGCGTCCATCGTAGCATCAGCGTATCCTTAGACGACGAGTCCTTCCACTCTTGTACAGTACCGCTGCTTCTTGCGGTTTGGTTTTCAGAAGAAAAG